ACCTTCCTCTCTCTCTCTCTCTCTCTCTCTCGGGTTTTGTTTGTGCATTTGTGTTTTTCTATAATTGAATGATTGAGTACACATTGTTGCTTGGGTGCTCATCAAATTGTGTCATTTGTCCTCAGTTAGAAGGAAAGGAAGTAAATAGAAAGCTTGATTTAGACGAGGATAGGAAGAATCGTACCATCACAGAGATGAGCCAGGAAGCAAGTTTTCTAAGGGCTCTCTTTTGAGCTCCTTCTCTCTCTCTCTCTCTCTCTCTCTTCATGTTTATGAATCACCGCAATTGTTATGATTAACCCCAAATCATACATCTATGCCTATTAGTTCAGTAAGGAACCACAATGGACATCTCAAGTTGATTGATCAGGTGCTTCAAACCTAATCCATGAGAATCACAATTGAAGCAAATAGAAGATGTTTGTATTGCTTCCCTTTATTAATGAACACTTGCCTTCCGAGGTGAAGAGCTACATTTCTTCTTGTTTTTTTATGGCACCTATGAGAAGCCGTTTTGTTTTTTTGTTTTGTTTTGTTTTTTGTTTTTGTTTTTTGCTTTTTTAATGGGTGAATTCCAAGGTTTCAGACATTTGAGTTCTATTTGATTCCAGGGCTTGTCCCTGATGTGACCAGGAGTTGCATGATACATAGAAGTCCCAATCTCTACTGTGAGGTGATACTCAACCATTGGATCACTACCACGTAAGGTGGAGATAATCCAAGGAAGTTTCTCATCTTGCATCTTCTGGAGCTATGGATCATCTCAACCATCTGTGGTGAGGATTCATCGGGGGAATGAGAAATTATATGTATCTTATAGGGCCCAATCCTACCAGGTCATTTTCCTAGAACAATTTATGACCTATCACAGCCATTCAAACGATGAACAATTTGACATGCGTCCATGCTTGTTCTACGAAGAAAAAGTGTATTGAGAGAGAGAGAGAGAGAGAGAGAGAGAGAGGCACTCAGTACGCATGCTAGTCTGCACAATTGTTAAGTAAATTTTGGTTTTTTTAGTAGTTAG